ACAGGCCTCGTCCTGACTCGTCTGACGGCCCGGCACATGGGCCATGACAGGGCACCAGTGCCATTTTCGGGACAGGGTGGGGGAGAGGGGGGTAGGGCGGGGGGGAGGGAGAGGAGGGGGCTCAAGGTGCCAACAATGATTGGCTCAAGACTCATGAGACAAACTGATTGCTGAGTGATTGCACTTGCTGTGAGTCTTTGCTGTGTGTATTGAGTGATTGAGACCAACAGTTGACGTGGTAGCGGAGCTCTGTGCTGAGCGACTAGTGACTTCCTTCGCAAACTCAATGAGCTGCTCACTGAGATGATCATAGCATCCGCCAGCTCCTTCGTCGAGCAATGTCGAGCAATGTCGAGCACTCTGACATTGACAAACTGCGACTAGTGACTAGTTTCTCTGGCTGTCAGAACGTAGGAGTGTACATAGGAGTATTTTCGTCTTATCTGATTGTCAGAAAGCCAATTGCTCCCTGTGAAGTCTTTTGTTGATTGGACATGTGCAGAGAGCCAAGCGCGCAGATTGGCCAGGACAGTTGGTGTACAGGGTTTGATGAGATTGTTCGATCTCATGCGCCGTGGCATAGAGCCGCATAGAGCCCGAAGGATGGATTGAGATGAACATGTTGTCTGTTTGGTTTTGCGTCAGTCCATGATTGCAGTGACATGAGCCCGTGTATAGATTGTTTCTTACGCTGCCTGACAGGAACTGATGATTTGTGCTGCTTCAGTTCAAGATGTGATTGCGCGTGACAGATTCAGGTACAGATTGCGCGTGACATCGCAGGAACTGGCCACCGGATTGTATAGCCTAAAACTAAGGAGTGTAGGGTTGATCCCCTGTCATTGGTCTAGTCACTCGTTGACTTTAGCTCATTGACGCGCGAAAGATCCTGCTTGGATCTTGTAGCTGCGATTGGAAGTGTGTGTGTGCTGTGAGTCTGCTGCGTTAGGATCTGTAGGATTGAAAGTCTGTGTAGAGATGCGACTAGGATCGGAGCTGCTGAGTTGATTTTGCTGTATTGGAGTGTCAGAAGCCGAAGTTCGTACGCGAGATTGAGCACATGTGTCCGAGATTGAGTTTGAGACTGTCTGAGCTTGAACTGCTACGCTATGCCGCATTGCGTCAGACTTGCCAAGGAAGCGAGATTGCCATTGGAGCTGCCAGAAAGGAAAGAAAAGAAAGGAAAGAGGAGGTTCCAGTCCCCTCAGAAAGATTGGAGGTTTCAGTCCCCAACGAAAGAAAGAGAAAAGGATTAGGAAACGTGAGAGGTATTGAAAGAAAGGAAGGCGAAAGAAAGCCGAAAAGGAAAAGAAAGAGGCACAGGAAGTGCCGTTGGGTTTTCAAGCTGTTGTCCCAGCCTCAGATTGCAAAAGAAAAGATTGAAGGAAAAGAGTTGTGTCACGACAGGAAGAGATGGGAGCAACAAGGCAAGAAGTCGAGTTGACAAGAAGCTGTGAAAGTTGTGGAAGAATTGGCAGTGACAGAGACCATGGAAAAAGACATGGTCGAGGACATTGCGCGTGAAGTATCGCGTGCGTGGATTGCATGGAGCGCGAAGAAGATGGATTGTTTCTTGAGCCGGATGAAAGACAGATGTTGTGGGTTTGCGCGTGTGTGATCTGAGAAGAGTTTGACGGTTGAAGGTTCCGGGAACATTGAAGAAAGGCCTGGAAGCTTGAGTTAAGCGCGCAGAAAGGATTGTGGACGGACACCGGAGGCGCCGACTGAATTCGGCGTAGCTGCGTGCCTGAGGTGCCGCGTCGGGCAGCCAACCGTGACCCAGTAGGATTGCCTCGAAGCAGCACCACCATGGTGATTACGTTGGCTTAGTCCGTCCATTGAGCTTATGCTTGCGAGTTTGTGTGTGAGAGTTGCGCGATTGCCTCAGCGCCCTAAAGACCTAAAGAATCATTTGCGTCATTGGGTTGATGCGTTGGCAGCTGAGAGCGATCGTTGCTTCCCTGGGATCCCCGTTGAAAAAGAAAAGAGTGAGCGTTGTTTTCAAGGAATTGCGAGTCATGAACTCAGCCTGGTTTGGAAGCGGTGTGAGCACTGCAATTGCTTGGTAGACTTGATGGTGTGATTGGTGTTTCTCAGTCGCGATCTATTGCAGCTTGGGTTGTGTTCGTGCAAGGTGCACACATCGAGAAGTGTACCAAGTTTTGTCCTCTGAGGCAGGCACGCGACCCCTGCCAAGGATGACACGCACAAACCGACGACGGTTTGGCGCAAGCACCTATGAAGGGCGAACGAAGGGCAGAGGTGATGAAACGTTGTGAATTGCAGAACTCCGTGAGGGTTGATGTTTAAGGACTTGAGGGATTGAGGGTTAGCCTGTTTGAGGCCCATCATGTCTTATGACTATCTAGATGACGTGCCCCATGCTGTTCGTACGCAGTTACAGGCCCAGTCTTTGAATCAGGCTTCGTCCCCAGCTCCTTCACATTTCTCCATAGTTACCTCAAACTCCTCACCCCAACCCCTCATAACCAACAGGTTATGAGCCCAAACGCCTTAACCACTATACCATCACCAACTTCACATCGACCACCCATGCACCACCACAGCAGCAGCAGCAGCCTCACAGGCATCAGCAGCAGTGCTACATGCGGACGGCACGGTGATGTGGCGGCAGCTTTCGCAAGTCGTCATTTCGCCTGACATAGTGTCCCGGCTTGAAGCCCTGAGTTCTGTTGGACTGGAGCAGGCAGCAGACCTCGACAAGTTTCGACAGGGCATGGCAGAAATTGCTAGAGAACTTTATCAGAGGGCAGAGCTGCCGGGGTCGCGCAAAGCTTGGGTAGCAGAGGAGTGACGCAGCAGCAGCAGCAGCAGCAGCAAGTGGACGAGCTGACTAAGGAGGTGGCCCGTCGCAGTAAACAAGACGCGCATCATGAGACCGCACTCACCGACATGGGAACAGCGCACGACAGGACGATGAGCCTACTTGCAACCTTTGAGGATAAGATGAACAGGCCTTGGGACAGTGTCATGCGGAGTATGCAGGACATGGAAGAGAAGATCCGTGGAGTGGTTGCTGGACAGGCATCGCTTTCTGGAACTCTTGAAGAAATAGCTGCTAAGTCAACAGACGAGCAACATCGGCACTTGGTAGGGATGCTGGAAAGGCAAACCACAAACCTTGAGCTGTTGCAGAGCGAGCACAGAGTACAGGCAACGATGATGGCACAGATACAGCAGGGCTTGGAGGACTCGCAGGCTGAAGCTGCGATGGCCAAATCGAGAGTTGAAGACTAAGAAGAGCAGAAGACTATCAAATGGATAGTTGAGAAAGTCAAGGCTTTGGAGACAACAGTGGGCAAGTTGCGTGCAAGGGAAAGGGTGATCGAGCAAGAGCTTGGCTTTCCAGGCGCTGCAGGGAGCCCGCTAAGCCATCAATCGCAGCAGACTGCGGCGGCTGACCTGGCGCATCCATGGGCCTCAGATGTTTGTGATGTCCCCTACGCCAGCGCCGCCTGGCTTTGAGCAGGAGTACAATCCACCACCTATTCCCGCACACATGTCCAAGAAGGCCGGGGACAAGGAGGTGAAGATCCATCAAGCATCCTATAAGATAAAGATGCACCGAGATTGGATTTGACCGCAGGAGGAGAGCCGTGGGAAATTGGTATGCATGTAAATCAATGGTGTGTGGAGATGCGCACCCTCTTGCGCGCCATACATCCTGGTTTTGGGGACTACTTTGACATGGTGTGTGAAAGCGGTCGGGAGACGTCTCACCAGCTGCGAAGAGCCTGCACCGGAGGTAGAGCCCTATGCCGAGGAGACGGAGACAAGGTTATCTCTGACGCTGTTGAAGGTGTTGCTACATACTGTCAAACACACCAGTGCTCGAGTCTTCGACCAATCCTGTTGCAAGATGTGTGCTTTTACTTGAGTCTCTTCAAGAAAAGTACGCTCCAGGAGGAAAGGAAGAAGTAGAAAGCATTCAGCGGTTCCTGCGTCAGTTGCCTTCTGCGCCAGATGCGAAGGATGCTTTATCCACGTTGAGATAGTGGAAGCTTGCCCGGCAACGGGCGGCGAACTTGCAGTTGCCGGTGCAGGCACCGAACGAGGGTGTCGCTGCTCTGGACTCCTTGATTCGCCAGTTGGAAAAGAAAAACCAGCAGCTGTCCATGAAGATCACATGATAGTGCCCAGTCAAACAGGTCTGGATCGATACATTGCCTTGCTTGAGGTGGAATTCAGGAGACTGGCCTCGGATCAGGAGGTACGAGATGCCAGAGCAGCCAACTCGAATGAGGTAGCAGTCGCTTCGGAGGCAAGTGCAGGCAAGAGAAGATGTCTCTTCTTTCGTTCGTGCGCCGGATCGTTGCAGGGATAAGCAACCGCTCTGGTACTTGAGGTGTGTATGGGCACTGGATTGGAAATTTTTAGGGCCATCATGTCGCACGCGCAGCGTCGGTTCCAGAAAGTTCAGAGTCCCAACGTCATTGCCGCAGGGATTTGGCGGGCTGTGCTGCGCCGAAACTTCGAGTTTCCCATCATTCAGGAGGTGATGGGTGAGGATCAGGTGATTCTGACAGCACGGACTGTTCTCTGTCGCTACGTTGATGGGGTGTTCCGCCCGTTTGCGCTAGTGCATGTGATAGACACAGTCGGGGCAAGAACTATTTTTGACGTTGACGGAGAGCGAATTGGTGCCAGTAGTAGGGCTTTGGGATGACCATTTCATTCCAGGAGACCTTCTGTACCAATGCACAGCTCGTTTGACAGCTTTCAGAAGCCGAGGCATCGATTCAGGAGGAGGCTGAGTGAGGACTTGGACGCAGGCAATCACTCGAATGGGCCTAGCTTGGATGGTGCAATAGATCGTCGACGTCACGGTCCACGCACGAAGCCATGAAGGTACAACACAGCGAAGTACACACCCACGCCGCAGCTTGCAGCAGCTACAAGGACTGGTGGACTCAGGAGCCAACAAAATAATCCGTCCTCGCCCTGAGGGTTATGCGGTGCACCGGTGCCAGAGAACTCAGGTGACACTGGCCTCAAGTGACATCCTGGAAGCGTTCCGTACGAGGGATGGCGAGCTGATGTTGGCGGATGAGACTTCCGACACAGAAGCAGAGTGGAGCTTGAGTGTTTGGCGTCTTCGGGGAATTGAGGGCAGCTTCATTTGGGATGAAATGAGGCCACGCGTCTCATACTTGGACAGTGGAGTTCGGGTGTGGCGAGATTGCTATGTGGAGAATGGGCTCCCGTATCTCACATGGCATGGTTTTCGCCCCATCCGGGTACTGCTGGCCAAGGCATGGAAAAAAAGGGAACGAGCTGCGCAGCAAGGGCAATTGCCTGGGACAGCTGCTTAGAATCATGGATTACGATGACCTTCAGGAGCCATTGCTGGGATCACAAGCGTGTTCTGCTGAAGATGAAGGTGAATCGTATGCCCGCGAACTGTGCGGAAAGTCAAAAGTCTCCTATGGGGACGTGTGGGGAGCGATCTTGAAGTCCTCTTTGAAGCCAAGGTCCACTGACCGGTCCAAGATCACGGAGGGTTCCAAAGAGAAGCTGAGCGCTTGGACGTTACAGATGTTCTTCCCTCTTTTCTGCCCTCTTTGAGACGATTCAAGTGAGGAACTGATCCTTCTGTCGACGTGCTATGCGTCTCGCATTGCCAAAGACATCGAGTCATTGGAGTGCCCAGGAAGTGTGCCAGCGTTGAGCATGTCACACGCAGCAGCAGTTGGCGAGCGCTTGATGCATTCCCTGTCTCTCCTACACACATTGAACGCCGTCGCTTTGCGAAGTTTGAGTCGGGAACGTCAATGGTGAGACATGTCGAAGTGTGAATGGCACCTTGCCCTCTTACCGGTAACGCAACCATTGTTGACTTTTCGTCTGGCTTGTCCTAGTGAGGACCATTGGCGCTGTGCTTGACATAAGTTTGCTGCCCGGTGCCCTTGGACTGTTTGCTTGCAAGAGCCTGAGAGCTCAAGAAGTGCAATGGCTTGGCCAACATGCAGGCCAAGAGCATTGCGCTATCCGCAGACCAACAAACGGTGACACGCGCAACTCGAAAGTAGGTGCGGTGATTGTCATAAGACCTTAAGACCAAGGTTCCTGCAGATCATCGCGATGTGTGTCGAATACTTCAAAGAGCATCAGATGCGCGTATACGCCCGAGACGGGTGTGCATTCATGCACAGGTCCATTGGCGCGTGATCTCAAGCGATCCATGAAAGTCTCACTTTCCCCTGCATTGAAATAGCTCGAGAAGAGCGCAAAACCCAAAGAAGCATTGTTTCAACCAAAGCCCTTTAACCACGACCTTTGTTTGCATGTTCCCATGTCCAAGACATGATGTGTTTCAGTGCATTGATGTCAGCTGAAGACTGAAGACTGCGCGTGCTTTCCTTTTCTGAATTGAGAGATTGCAGCGCGTAGTGTTTTGATGCTTCTACCTGTCTATATTGCCCGCTTCGCGTCGCCTTAGCCGATTGAGCCTCTTGAGCTCACAAAGCAAATTGGCCATGAATAGGTTCCAGGCCCCAGTGTCCCCGAAGCATTGTACAGAAATTGCACCTTCGACTTTGACCGTAGCGTAAACTACTTAGCTACGTGTTCGAAATTTTGATTGCGCCACGTGTATCGAAACCTGGTGCATGGATTGGTCTCGATCAAGTTTTCGTGTTGTGTTTGTCTTTTGCTTTAGTGCAAACACAAGGCAGTCGCAGCAATTGCCCTTGCGCTTGTAGTTTTTGTTGTAGCCATTGAATGGCTGCTTTGAGACACAGACTGAGGGACCGATTGGAACCATGATGAGATGGCCGACGCGGCCCGCGTGATTGCTCTCTGCAGTCTCTGCAAGTGGGGATGACGAGCGTGAAATTCCTGCACGGAATTGCTCTTGCTGCATTGCTGACATGGACCACGCCGATTGAGCTTGGTAGCGTCGCTGCTGTGAGTGCGTTTCCAACGGAGCATGAGATTGTTCCGGTCTGGATTGGAAGAGAAGGCCTTGACAACGCTGCTCGACTGAACGAGTGACGATCGTTTTCAGCGTTGCAGGAGGATTTGGAAGCAGGATTTGGAAGCATTGTTGCACAATGTGGCATTAGGCTTTGCTGGATGGGCAGGTGAGCCGATGTCGTTGACGACGTCAAGGTGCCATTGCCCCGTGGTGTGGCCCCTGGACATGCCTCATTTGCAATCAGAGCACCCATGTGGGAATTGCTCACTACCAACTTGCCGATTGCAACACTGAACTAGCTTTGCGAAAATGGATGCCTCTTCCATTGCTACTGGTATTGTGTCCGGTTTTCAGATTGATAGCATGGCATTTGGGACATGCGTCATTGTTCCACAAACCGGCGATCATTGACGACGAGACAACATTAGCAAAGTCTTTATGTTCTTTTGGCGTTGCCGATCAGCGTGCTCGCTGCCGTGATTGCAGGAGATGCATTGGAACTCACAGGCTACAGGTGAACTGCTGGTTGACTGTGGAAGCTGCGTTGAGCAAGCTTTGCCACTGGATTCGTCAAGTCTGTCTGTTGCCATTTCTGTGTGAAAAGATTGGAGTCCTGGCTTATCAGCCTAGAACCTCAACATTGAACTCGACTTGGAAGTGTCCAAGTCATCTTGGAGAATGACATTGAGCGTGGCGCAAATTGCCCGAGCAGCATTGTTTAGGATGAACATGACTCGTGAAGATTTGGCTTGGGCCTGGCGTCGAAGTGCTGTGATTGTCCTCTGGCTGTGCATCGTGGATTGGTCGTTCTGCGTGCGTTGCGAAGTGCTATCCCGGACTCTGCGTCATTGAGGACAAGAAGGAAGAAATTGATTGGCCTCTTGCAGAAAAGGCCAAGACACACAAAACATTATCTTCTCGCGAAGACATGCACAGCAAACCAACTGTTGTGATTGCCTTGCCGGATGGAACGAAGATTGAAGTGAAGCAAGGCAACAAAGTTGAATGTCACCGATGCCTTTCGGAGAGTCAAAGTGCAGTGCATTGGTGCGTGCAATGTACGCAATTGGTATCGTCGTGTGTATTTCTCAGCGCCTGTTATGGTGATTTGATGGTATTGTTTTTTGGTATGGCTTACAGTTCAAACAGATTGAGAACAAGTCTATGCAATTAAGTGCCACTTCTGGATTGCTGTTGAGCTTCTGGATTGTTTCCATGTGGTATTCGACATTGCATGCTCTGGGATTTCCGCCCATTGTACTCAGGACCACTGTTCGCAAGGATGTTGTGTAATGAACATTCCTGGCATGGTATGGATTATGTATGGATTGCAGATGTGGTGATTCTGGCTTGCGACTTGTGACTGTCAGTGCTTGCGATTTCGATTGAGACCAACACTTGACATGTACTTGAATTGTGCATTTCGCTTTTGTCAAATTTCAGGGAAGGGGAGAGGGGGGAGGGGGGGGGGGGGGGGGGGGGGGGGGGGGGGGGGGGGGGGGGGGGGGGGGGTAGACAAAATAGCGTGTTGGGGAGAATAGGGAGGGAGGGGAAATTCTACACCTTGCCCAAGTCACGCGATTCTTGCAGTTTTGTAAATTTTCCTGTGCGCTTTCGGAGCCTGAAACCGTCATACCCAATCCCAACACCACACACAGTGCCAAGCCCGAAACTCTCCTGCGGCCCTCAAAACTGTGCTGCAAGCCAGAATGCCTCAAGTAGACCGAACTTGCCAATTCGCTGTAAACACCAGCATTTCCACACAAGTACACAACCTTGAACCCTTACTTGTCTGTCCGTCCAGAACCGTGTACCCGAAGCCCTTTCAAAAACTCACATCTCAAGCACCTTCTTCCGTGCTGCGGCTGCTGAACGTCGAAAAATCGTCAAAACGCACCAAAATGATGTCATTTACAGTGGATTCGGGCCTGAAACACCTCGCCCATCGGCTAAAATCGGGTTCTCGAACATGCACTCCAAAGCAACCGCGCACTTTCACAGCCCAAACAAAACCTTGCATATTCGGCGAGGTCGTTATCCACGCCGTAACCTTGAGTTCCTCCATGTTAGGACAATAACCTCTATTTTCTCGATGCTTCTTCTAGGAAAACCTACATCCCTCGTTTTCCCGACGCGTACTAATTTGCAGGGGAGTCGCATGGTCAATTCAGGAAAACTCTGTTGCCTCTGCAGTTGAATAAGAGTCCTTCTCATTTTCATGCCATTTTTGCATGAAGCTGGTCAGTTTCCTCAGTTTTCCCAAGCAAAAAAAGTGTTGTGAAAGCACGTCGAAGAGAAGTGTAGAAAAATCGGGCTGGGGGGGAGGGGTGAGCGCATCCCCCCCCCCCCCAGTTGCAAAAACACGATGTTCGCAGGGCGGGTTTGGAATGGTTGGAATAATTTTGTTCCTTTATTTCCTTTCCTTTCTTTCTTCCTTTCTTTCGTCTGTGCGTCGGTCCTCCCTTCCCTTCCCTTCCCTTTCTTTTTATTTTTCTTCTTCTCTTCTTCTCTGCACTTCGGAGTCCCCCCCCGGAGGAGGAACTTTCTTTCTTTCCGTCCTCTTCTTTCTCGATCCTCCCCCAGCCCCCGGCCCTCTCTCTTCGAGAAGTAAAGGTTTTCCTAGTAAAGACATAAAAGGTCTTTCTAGTAACAACATCGAGGAAATTGCAGACACAATGCTCGCAAGACACGTTTTGACAGGATTCCGATGTTCTTTAATGCAAGTTCCCTTCTGGTCCGGGCATGAACTGTAAAAAGAACGGGGGGGTAGTTGGTTGGGGGGGGTGCGGCCCCCAGTTGCAAAGAAAGACAACGAACATCCGGCTGCCGCTGCGGCGCAAGCTGGCCAGTTGGCTTGCTCCAAGAAACAAAATACAGCCGGGCAAGCACTGCATCGTGCAGCGCGGCGGAGCGTGGCTGGCCCGGAAGAGACCTGACCCCCACCAAACAGAAACCATTTACAGAGAAAAGCTTCAAGCTGATCCAAGCAGTCTGCCAGAGGAAGCGGAGGAGTACAACAAGATGAGCAGCTTGACTGCCCCAAGTGGGGGGCGAGAGAACGGCGGAGGCGACGCAGGTGGAAACGGCAGGGGACGAGGACGAAGCGCCACACGGGCTTGTGAGGGCTGCGGAGCTTAAGGCTGAGACATAGCAAGACTGAGAGACACTTTTTGGGGAGAGGAGCTCTAGGCACATCTGCAGGTAGAGGAGTACGACTCTAGGAGTCCTTGGCTGATCCCCTGCGTAGCACGAGCATGGGCTGTTTGGAGGTAAGCTCGTTTGGTCTCAGCTCGCTTCTTTCTTCCTTTTTTCTATTGCTCTGTCTTGCTTTCTCTACTTCTTGCTTTTGCATCTATTTCTTTTTGTCTTTCCTTCTTTCTTTCGTCTCTGCCTCGGATCTTCCGTTCTTCCTTCCTTTCCTCCTTCCTTTGCTGCTGATGAGTGCACCCGTTGAAAGCCACAACTGTCCTACGTAATACTTATGGGGTAGTCCAGATCGAAAAGGCCACCTACTACTTGTGTCGTATGAGGGCATCACAAACTTAAAGACTTAACGACATGGGCCAAGACGACAGTTGCCCGGTTGCCCTCGGGAGAAGAAGCTCACCCAAAGTTCCCTTTCCCAAGCTCTCCGCTTTTGTTTCTTTCT